TGCCAAGGTTAAGGGCATGCCCATGTGAACCCCAAAAATATGAGACAGGTCTCAGTTAATTTAGAATGTTGATTTTGCCAACACTGAGGACATGTGTCCATGACACAGCCTCAGAAGGTCCTGAGGACTTGTGCCCCTCTGGTGGGGCTACAACTTTTTCATTCATTTTAGGGAGACATAGGACATCCATCAATACATATAAGATATACCTTGGTTCAGTCCGGAAAAGGCCAGACAACTGGAAATGAGGCCTTCCAAGTCATGGGCAGACTCAAAGATCCTGACCAGCAGTTGGTTGAGTTATTATCTAAAGACCTGCAGTCAGCAGAAAGGAGGATCTGGGTTACAATAAGAGAGACCAAGGTTTGATTGTGCAGGTGAAGCCTTCAGGTGGGGGTTTCAGAGAGAATAGGCTGTAAATGTTTCTTCTCACACTTAAAGAGTCTTCCTATCAGTCTTAAGGCCTGTGTTGATGGTAATGAGGTAGGCCCACCTCCCTCTTCCTATCTTGGCCTGAGCTAGTTTTTCAGGTTAACTTTGTAATGCGCTTGGCCGAGAGGAGGGGTTCAAGCAGATGGTTGGGGAGCTTAGAATTTTACTTTTGGTTTACATGGCTATCATAATTTTCAAAGTAATCTAGGTAAACTAAAAATTAATTAGGTAAATGTAATGGAATAAATGCTTGCAAATAAATGTCATATAATTTAAAATCTAAAGTTATAATAAAATAATATTCATTAAATGTCTGCATCATTTCCATTTTTTTAACAAAAATTTGATTATAGGAAAACATTTTTCTAAGAAACAATGTGTTCTTATGAAAAGGAAATAAATTTTGTCTAATTCAAAGGCTATTTAAAGGTTATTTTTGAAACAAGGTATATTAGGGTTCTCCAGAGGGACAGAACTAATAGTATATATATGTACACACATGCATATATGTGTACATGCATGTACACATATATACTGTGTGTACATATATGTGTGTGTGTAGGGGAGTTTATTAACATACACAATCACAAGGTCCCACAATAAGCTGTCTGCAGGCTGAGGAGCAAGGAGAGACAGTCCAAGTCCCAAAACTGAAGAACCTGGAGTCTGATGTTTGAGGGCAGGAAGCATCCAGCACAGGAGAAAGATGTAGCCTGGGAGGCGATACCACTCTAGTCTTTTCATGTTATTCTGCTTGTTTTTTATTCTGGCTGAGCTGGCAGCTGATTAGATGGTGCCCACCCAGATTGAGGGTGGATCTGCCTTCCCCGGTCCACTGACTCAAATGTGAATCTCCTTCGGCAACACCTTCACAGACACACCCAGGATCAATGCTTTGCATCCTTCAATCCAATCAAGTTGACACTCAGTATTAACCATCACACAAGGCAAAAGGAGCTAGTACATAAGAGAGAGATAGTGAATGTTATAAATATGAAGAAGTATTTTTGGTAGGAAAGTTTAAAAGAAAAATAATTTTATATGAGAAAAAGTCTTACGTGGTAAATTTTTTGCCCTAAAATAAAATGACTGGTTATTTAAGAAAGAGAGATGTGGCTGGGTGCGGTGGCTCATGCCTGTAATCCCAGCATTATGGGAGGCCAAGGTGGGTGGATCACAAGGTCAAGAGATCAAGACCATCCTGACCAACATGGTGAAACCCCGTTTCTACTAAAAAAAATACAAAAATTAGCTGGGCGTGGTGGTGCATACCTGTAATCCCAGCTACTCAGGAGACTGAGGCAGGAGAATTGCTTGAACCCAGGAGGCAGAGGTTGCAGTGAGCTGAGATCGCACCACTGCACTCCAGCCTGGCATCTGGTGACAGAGCAAGACTTTGTCTCAAAAAAAAAAAAAAAAAGGGATGTTTAGGATAAGACAGGAACTCCAAGCATATTGTAAATGGTTTGTGTAAGTGGCAATGAGGTTTATAAAAAGGGAATTTATGAAAAAAAGCTTTACATAATCAAGTTGGCTATGATTAAAAGGAAATTTTAATAGTCTTTCTAGGGGTTGGGTTTTGATATTAAAATATACTAATAAACTAAAGAATTGGTTAGAACAACAAAATTTTCTTAGGGTACTGATGTATTCAATAAAATTACAAGATATTTTAATTTTTTTAATTCTAAAGTTTAAGTTTTATTGCATCTCACTGTTTTCAGCTTTCTCTCCCCTTCAAGGAGGCCTGAAATCACTTTCTCCTTCAAACTTTTCATCAGTTCCTGTAACTATTTTCCTCAGATTCTAACTGCTGTTGTGGCCTGATGCTACAAAATATTTTATCTTAAGGATCTTGACCAGGTGCAGTGGCTCACATCTGTAATCCTAGCACTTTGGGAGGCTGAAACAGGTGGCTCTCTTGAGGTCCGGGATTCAAAACTAGTCTGGCAAAATGGTGGAACCCTGTCTACTAAAAATACAAAAAAATTAGCCAGATGTGGCTGGTGCCTGTAATCTCAGCTGCTTGGGAGGCTGAGGCAGGAGAACTGTTTGAACCCAGGAGGTGGAAGTTGCAGTGAGCTGAGATCATGCCACTGTGGTGCAGCCTGGGCAACAGAGTGAGACTCCATCTCAAAAAAATAAAAATCTAAAGAAAATGTTTACTTTCGATATAACCTTCTGTGCTCTTGGCTTTAAATTCTTCTACGAAACTGGAAACTTTCACTTGTGACCCAGGACACATTATTCCTATGTGTCTAACTAATTCAAGTCCTAGGAAGACTGAGATTTAAAAAAATGTTATAGTGTCTGTGTTTAGGTATTGCTTTTAAAGACCTCATGCCATTAACTTGCAGGGCTTTGACCCTGGTATAGAAAGGACACAAAGCTTGCTAAACTTTAAACATGAATAGCAGCTAAAGCCCCATCTTCAGACCCATGAGCTGACAATCAACACAACCTGCATTCATGAGACACACAGCCAGATCTTAACACTACTCAATCCCCTAGAAGAGGTGAGCACGTGAGAGTTTCCGGGCTGATTTTGAGAGAGAAAATTAGTTCAGAGTTTCTCTACAAATTAAATATTATCATCAAAGCCACACTGATGGAGGGCCGGCATCCAGGCCCTTGAGTCACATTAACAAGGTTTTCTTGGAGCAGTAACAACTCTTTAATTTACAAAACTATAAAAGGTTTATGGAAATTATGTCTTATGGTCAAGATGATTAAAATTTAGTAGCTTTGTTTATAATATTTGAGAGACAGATTTAGTTGGCCTCATGCTGTTTTTATTAGGGAGTATAAAACAGAGATTTGGGCAAGTAAGCTTTCTCTCTCAAAGAATAAAGGGTTTTGCTCTGTTTTTTTTTTTTTAAATCCTCGAGTTATGAGATTGGCTTAGTGAATGGCTTATTTTACAATGACTGGCAATCCTACTTTGTGATATCAAGTGTTTCAAACTTTGGATATTTTACCAACTTTTCAAAATCAAATTCTAAATTCGGTCTATTTGCCCTATTTATTTTTTGATATTGGATCCCCTGAAGTTCAGAAGAGACAAATTCTGCTTATTTGGTATAATAAAATCATATGGGAAGCACTGTCAAATATGAAATGATATTTAACCTTCTTTGGATTATTGCCTCAGCCTCCCAAGTAACTGGGATTACAGGTGCACACCACCATGCCCAGCTAATTTTTGTATTTTTACTAGAGACAGGGTTTCACCATCTTGGCCAGGCTGGTCTCAAACTCCTGACCTCATGATCCACCTGCCTTGGCCTCCCAAAGTGCTGGGATTACAGGCATGAGCCACCACAGCTGGCCTTGTTTTTATTTTTGAGACAGGGCCTTGCTCTGTTGCCCAGGCTGGAGTGCAGTGGTTTGATCACAGCTCACTGCAACCTCTGCCTCTTGACCTCAAGATCCTCCCACCTCAGCCTCCCGAGTAGCTGGGATTACAGGTGTGTGCTACCACACCTGGCTGATTTTTCTATTTTAGTAGAGAGGGGGTGTCTTCATGTTGCCCAGTCTAGTCTTGAACTCCTGAGCTCAAAAAATCCACCCGCCTTTGCCTCTCAAAGTGCTGGGATTACAGGTGTGAGCCACTGCACCTGGCAGATGTTTAATTTTTTTTTTTTTTTTACCAAGTGTGCTGGGTTGAATGGCATTCCTTAAAACCATAGGCCCAAGTCCTAACCCCTGGTACCTGTGAATGTGACCTGATTTGGAATCGGGTCTTTGAGGATTTAGTTAAGGTGCAAATTAAGATGAGGTCCCACTGCAGTAGGGTGGCCCTTAATACAACACGACAATGTCCTAAGAAGAGGAGGAAACACACACACACACATGCGCGCATGCACACGCACACACTCGCATGCACACACAGAGACAGAGAGCGAGGGAGGGTGGAGAAAGCCAGGTGGTGACAGAGGCTGAGATTGCAGGCATGCGCACTGAAGCCAAGGGAGCCAAGGACGTCTGCAGCATTAGACCCTGGAGAGAGCGTGGCCCTCCCAACACCTCGGGTTTGAACTTCTAGCCTCCAGAATTGTCAGAGAATAAATCCGTGTTGTTTTAAGTTACTCTGCTAAATTTGTCATGTCAGCAATGTGAAACTAACATGTATCTATGCAACTTTTTCAATAAGAAAAACTATTTATTTTCTAATGTGAGGGGCATGTAACTGTTCCCATGATGATCACGAATGAAGACAGCGATCGGAAGACGGTGGAATTGCATATGGTCGTTATTTCCGTTGTGCTGGGAGTGTGTGACTCACAACACAAAAATGTGCTATTTCTGTAATCAGAAAAAAGAAGTACATAAACAACATTCTAAGACAGCGTAAGCAGGGATTTACCCTCTGGAGGTGAGCAGACAAAGGCTCAAAGAGGATGAAGGAGGAGAAGGAGGCCGCATTCTCCCTCTGCTGTACGAACATAAACACAGGTCATTCAACATATCTCTCCGTCAGTAAGAATCAGTCATTAGGAAGTAAGGAGACGAAGGTAATGAAAACCAAAAGCACATTTAAAAATATTCTTTAATTTTTCAAATGGGACAAAGCCCTGTCCTCATAGCCACGGGAAGAACCTGTGGGCAGAGGTGTCACTGTGACGCTTGCATCATCAAAGGAGCCTGGTGACGTCAGCACCAACAGAAGACTCCAGGGTTAGGAGAGCCGTAGATGGCAGCTGGATCGTGGTGTGACACAGACCCTAAGATATGATGCTTGGAAGAAACTCATCCTCAGCGGACGTCTTTGGCTGTCTCTTTACATCACTCTAACCCAAGGTAAAGGACTTTTAAAGACGGATCTAGGAAAGTTTGGATGGTTGTGGTAAAATCAGGGTCAGGGTCATCCCTTAGCCTTGGCCTCAGAAAGATACTGACAGACAGGCAGCTCATCAACATACAGCTAGGGGCGTGCCCAGGGACAATGTCACGGAGGAGGGAACACCGATGCAGAGAATCTGGCTACATGGGCCCATCTTACTCCATCCACGTGACATTTCTGGTGATCTTGAATTTAAAAGGTGGTCAGTTTCAAATCGCAGAGGCAAAAGAATGGCCCAACTGAAGCCTGCCCAGGATGCCATTATATGAAGAACTGTCCCAAAGAAATAAAACATGAGCCACATTTTCAGTGATCAGTTTCCCAGAAGCAACATTACAAACAGTAAAAAGAAACAGGTGAATTAATTTTCATAATTTATTTTTCATTTAACTCACTCTTTCCAGATGACAACACCCAGACTGTTACCATTTCGGTGTGTAAACGGTATAAAGTTATGAGTGAGATGGTAAATTCTTTTCTTTCCCGCTGTGTCTGACTTTGAGACCCCACCTTGCAGCATACCTCATTTCACAGTGGCTGCATTTCACGTGCTCAGGGACCACACGTGGCAAGTGGCTACTTTATGGCTACCAGTGCAGAGCTAAAGCATCATGTTTGTTAAATTAGTGTTCAAAATGAAAATCACTGTGAGCCTGAGGTGGGTGGATCACCTGAGGTCAGGAGTTTCAGACCTGCCTGGCCAACATGGTGAAACCCCATCTCTACTAAAAATACAAAAATTAGCTGAGCATGGTGGTGTGCACCTGTAATCCCAGCTACTCAGGAGGCTGAGGCAGGAGAATCGCCTGAACCCAGGAGGTGGAGGTTGCAGTGAGCCAAGACCGTGCCACTGAACTCCAGCCTGGGGGACAGAGTGAGACTCCATCTTAAAAAAAAAAAAAAAAAAAAAAAGGAAAATAGGAGAATTGGAGACCTGCACTTTGTGTGGACACAGCCCAGGGGTGTGTTCCTGATGGGCTTGTAAAACAAATCCCAGGCACTGCTGAGAACCCAGACTTCCACCTTAAAGTCTAATGCCTTTAACTTAGACAACATTCCCTGTTTACAAGCACCTGCCTTTGAGAGCACTTGTGAATTTTTAGACTGGCATAGTCTTGGAACAAATGATCCATCTTACTATCTCAGTGAGGAAGAAAGAATAGCAAGTCAACTTTGGGGGAGGGATACCTGCTCCTGGGTCAAGATGACTTCCTCATCAACGCCTCATTGTGTTCACAGCCCTGCAGTGGAGAGATTTATTGCTTTTCTTTTATGCAATCAAGTCAGACTTCGATCTGAACACGGGGAGAAACAGAGTGTGTGTGCAGCTGGCCCACAGGAGCAGTCAGCCCCGGGCACTCGAAGGAGGACAGAGGCTTCCCTGACTCAAGTTGCTGTCTCCTGACAGCTGAACATTCTAGAAGCAACCTCTAAGGTTGGTGGTGTCCAACTGCCCATACATTAACCCCTTGTTAGAAGATGGCAAATACATCTTTTATATTGCTTAAAATACAATTTTTCTTCCTTTTTCCTTAGGAGAGAATGAATTTGAAAAGAATGTTGTTACTGGTTTTATTTGTTTTTTCACTGATGTTGGTTAAGCGTTATTTCAGGTAAATATAAAATATTGATGAATCATGATCTTTAGTGATTGGTAGAGATGGCCTTAATTTCATTTTAATTAATTTAATTTTTTGAGACAGGGTCTTAGTCTGTTGCCCAGGCTGGATTGCAGTGGTGCCATATCAGCTCACTGCAGCCTTGACCTGCCAGGCTTAAATGATCCTCATGCCTCTGCCTCCTGAGTAGCTGGGTTTACAGGCACATGCCACCACACACAACTAATTTTTAAAATTTTTTTGTAGAGACAGAGTCTCCCTATGTTGCCCAGGCTGGCAGAGATCATGTAAACTGCTGAATTTTGTCCAAAGATATCAATACTACTCTCTAAATAAATCAGAAGTCACCTCCTCTTTGTGGGACAAAACATCATTGTTAAACACTGAACYACTACGTATAGRCTGCCTTCTAGGTACCAGGCTCTGTCCTATGGGGATGCGGCAATAACCAAAGTGCCTGTCCTCAGGGGGCCTTCATTCTATTTGGAGAAGGTAGACACTAAACACACATAAAAGACAGTGCCAGGGATATAATATTTTATAAAACAAGCATAATAAATAAGGGTGAGAGTGCCATTTTAGATGAATTATAAACTATCTCAAGGTTCCATCTCTGTGTTTGATATAAACAAGACTAAAGTCAACCTATTTCAATACATGTAGAAAAATGTGTGCTACAGGACACCTCTATAAACCTCCTGATATGGTCTGGCTGTGTCCCCACCCAAATCTCAACTTGAATTGTATCTCCCAGAATTCCCACGTGTTGTGGGAGGAACCGGGGGAGGTGACTGAATCATGGGGGCCCGTCTTTCCTGTGCTATTCTCATGATAGAGAATAAGTCTCATGATATCTGATGGGTTTATCAGGGGTTTCTACTTTTGCTCCTTTCTCATTTCCTCTTGCCGCTGCCATGGAAGAAGTGCCTTTCTCCCCCTGCCATGATTCTGAGGCCTCCCCAGCCATGTGGAACTGAAAGTCCAATTAAACCTCTTTTTCTTCCCAGTCTTGGGTATGTCTTCATCAGCAGCGTGAAAACAGACTAGTACATCTGCTGATATTCTCTCATCTAGAACAATTTGAATTCTTGCCTTCTCCGTACCACTCCTCATGGCCTTTTTCATAAGCAATGCAGTGTTTTCTGAGGATATTTGAACAGCAGTAGTATCATGAGAGATGATGGTTTTTAAAAAATGAAGGCTTTGCACAACATGTACCTTATAAAGGACTTGTACTCAAAATAGGCAAAAAGCTCTTAAAATTCAACAATAAGGAAACAAACACCTAAATTTAAAAATGAAATAGTGGCATTTAAAACATTTAAAAATGAGCAAAAGAACGGAATAGAGTCTCACAAGAGAAGACAGACAGATGGGAAATAAGCAAACGCCAAGACGCTTGGCCTCATTTGTCATCAGGGAATTGCAATCAAAACAAGGAGATGCCACTACCCACCCATTAGAACAGCTAACACCCAAAAATCTAAAAACCAGGTGCTGGCAAGGAAGTGGAGTGACAGAAACTCTCATTCATTGCTGGTGGGAATGCAAAATGGTGCAGGTACTGTGGAAGACAGCATGGCAGTCCCTTAGAAAGCTAGATATAGCTGGCTGGGTGCGGTGGCTCACGCCTGTAATCCCAGCACTTTGGGAGGCTGAGGCGGGTGGATCACAAGGTCAGGAGATCGAGACCATCCTGGTCAACATGGTGAAACCCAGTCTCTACTAAAATACAAAAAATTAGCCAGGCATGGTGGTGCACACCTGTAGTCCCAGCTATTCGGGAGGCTGAGGCAGGGGAATTGCTTGAACCCAGGTGGCGGAGATTGCAGTGAACGGAGATTGGGCCACTGCATTCCAACTTGGTGACAGAGCAAGACTCTGTTTCAAAAAAAGAAAAAAAAGAAAAAAGAAAAAGAGGAAGAAGAAAGCTAGATATAGCTTTACCATGTGACAGAGCAGCTGTGCTCCTAGGTATTTAGCCAATGGATTAAAAAACTTATGTCCACACAAAACCCTGCACAAGAAGTTTATGGAAATTCTCCTCACACATCCCTCACACCACTGACAAAGTAGGTGTCCTTCAGCAGGGGAAGGGTAAACACGCCGTGGTTCATGCAGAAACAAACAAGGTGCCCTTCAACAGGAGGAGAATGATACACAGGCTGTGCTCCTCCGTGCGATGGAATCCCACTCCACAGCAGCAAGAAATGAGCTGTCGAGCTGTTAAAGACGTGCGGGAGCCCTAAATGCATATTGCTAAGTGCAAGAAGCCCGTCTGAAAAGGCTGCATGCTTTTATAATTCTCATATGACATTCTGGGAAAGGTAAGACTATATTGGCAGGAAAAAGATCCACGGTTGCCACGGGGTGGAGGTGGGGGAGGGGGTGAATAGGTGAAGCACAAAGGAATTTCTGGGGGCAATGGAACTACCCTGTGTGACAGTGTAACCAGGGACACATGTAAATTTGCATTTTTAAAAAAACCCATAGGATGTTATGGCAGAAGAGTGAAATTAACATATGTAAATTTTAAAAAATTAGCTAGGAGGTTTGAGGTATCCTAGGAAGCAGTGCAGAGTGTGAGAACGTAATCTCCATCGCACATGTATAGAACAGGTCCGCTAGAAGGGGAGAGGGAGAAAGTCCATGACCTAAAATAATGAGAATGAGGGGAGTTTAAAAGTAAAGGAGTTCAAAAGTGGTGGCTCACGCCTGTAATCCCAGCACTTTGGGAGGCTGAGGCAGGTGTACCAAGAGGACAGCAGTTTGAAACCAGCCTGACCAACATGATGAAACCCCGTCTCTACTAAAAATACAAAAATTAGCCAGGCGTGGTGCTGCACACCTGTAATCCCAGCTACTCGGGAGGCTGAGGCAGGAGAATTGTTTGAACCAGGGAGACAGAGGTTGCAGTGAGCCGAGATCACACCACTGCACTCCAGCCTGGGTGACAGAGCAAGATTCCATCTCAAAAAAAAAAAAAAAAAAAAAAAGACAGTGGCTCATGCTGTAATCCCAGCACTTTGGGAGGCCGAGGCGGGTGGATCACGAGGTCAAGAGATCGAGATCATCCCGGTCAACATGGTAAAACCCCGTCTCTACTAAAAATACAAAAAAAATTAGCTGGGCATGGTGGCACGTGCCTGTAATCCCAGCTGCTCAGGAGGCTGAGGCAGGAGAATTGCCTGAACCCAGGAGGCGGAGGTTGTGGTGAGCCGAGATCGCGCCATTGCACTCCAGCCTGGGTAACAAGAGCGAAACTCCGTCTCAAAAAAAAAAAAAAAAAAAAAGGCACATGAGTGCTGTGTTTGGGTTGATAAAGGTTTGTTCCCACAGGAGTGTGAGTTAGCAATTCCACTGCTGCTATACATGTATATTTGAATCAATTAAATAAATGGATGGGGGATGGGGGAGCAGGTTTCTCACTGTTGGAGGGGACTTCACAGACAAGCAAGAGAGGGGGCCAGAGTGATCCCGGGGGCAATGGATTGAAGCTGGAGACCTCAGCATGAACTCACCCTTACTATGAACAGCGATGATTACATGGCAACATGTTTGAAGACGTGGATGTACACACAGATTAGCAGCTGTTTCCTTGCTCTGTTAGCTGAGAGGGCCCAGAAGCAACGACACCCTAGTAGCAATAAGCACTCCAGGTGCCTAGGTCTTGGCTTCTAACACCATTCTCCAGGAAAACAACCAGGGCTTCTTAGAGAAGTGGACGGTTCTAGATTTGGGCAGGGGATTTACAAGATGAGCCCAGAGCACCTTGCGGGGCCAGGAAGGAAGGAAGGGATTTTTACAAATTCTATTTTTAAGGGAGTATGTCACTTAACTGGGACAGGGGAGCTAAGCTAACTGGGAGAGCTCCCAATGGCCAAAGCTGGATCCATTTAGTAAGACAAGAAAGTAACATTGAATCACAACCCAAAGCATGAAACGAATTCCACAAGTCCATACTGATGTAAATGAATGACTGGAGGAAAAAAAAAGAGGGCAGAAAGGAAGGAAGGCAGGTCGGCTGAATGTCGGAAGAACTGAAGGAAAGAAGGGGGAAGAGACAGATCTCCCATGCAGAATTCCAAGTCATGTCTGTAGATTCTCCACTACCAAGGACACAGACCCTGATGCCCCAGTCCTAAAGTGTGGGGCACACGCAGTGTTTCCTTATAAAGACCCCAGGATGGAAAGCGGGGAGCAAGAGCAGTCTGTGCGTGGAGAAGCCTGAAAACACAGCTCTAGCCAGGTGGGCAAGGTCAGCATGGACGGGAAGGCGTGAGGAGGTCTGAGAGGCTGCTGCAGTCACTAGGAGCCTGTGCATTTGGAGGCTGAGTGCAGGGTGGCGTGCTGGGTGGGATCCCGAAAAAGAGAAGGGACATTAGGTGAAAACAAGAACATCCAACCAAAGCATGGACTCCCGTTAACAGCAAGGCATCAGTGTTGCTTCATGAATTGGAACAAGAGTACCCTACTCAACCTAGAAGTGAATGATGGGGAAACTGGCTGGGTTCAGGGAATTCTGCATACTAGCTGTAGAACGTTTTTGTAAAGGTGAATCTGCCCTCCCCTCCACTTCCCTTCCTTCCTTTCTCTCTCTCTTTCTTTTTCTCTTCTTTCTTTTTTCTTTTTTTTTTGACAGAGCCTTGCTCTGTTGCCCAGGTTAGAGTGCAGTGGTGTGATTTCAGCTCACTGCAACCTCCACTTCCCAGGTTCAAGCAATTCCCTTGCCTCAGCCTCCCAAGTAGCTGGGACTACAGGTGCATACCACCATGCCTGGCTAATTTTTGTATTTTTAGTAGTGACGGGGTTTCACTATGCCGGCCAGGCTGGTCTCGAAATCCTGACCTTGTGATCCACCTGCCTTGGCCTTCCAAAGTGCTAGGATTAAAAGCATGAGCCACTGTGTGTGGCCACAGTATTCTTCTTTAGGTTAAAATAACCCTCTTCAGACAAGGATGTTCTCTGCTCTGGTCATTCTGCAGCGCCCCAGAAAGTGATCAGACCAGCTCGATCCGAGAATGAGGACTTTTTAGAAAGTTCCCCTTCGTTGCTTCATGTTTTGATGGTGTCTGGCACGGGCAAATTGGATTTTGATAGTGTAGCCCTGGGGAATCCAATCACGGACTATCCGTGGCTAAGGACACTTCAGGAAGGGAGGCAGTCTTCAAGTCATTGATTTATTGAAAGTCATGGGTTTTACTTAAAAATATCCCAGGGTTACTATCCTAGGCAGCAGAGGGAGACTCTGTCTCTACAAATAATTTAAAAATTTTCCAGGTGTGGTGGCACACCCCTGTGGTCCCAGCAACCCAGGAGGCTGAGGTGGGAGGATTGCCTGAGCCCAGGAGGCTGAGGCTGCAGTGAGCAGTGGTGGGGCCACCACCCTACGGTCTGGGTGACAGAGTGAGAGCCCGTCTCAAAAAAAAATAAAAAAATCCTCGCAGGGTTATGGCGCAGAGGTTGCCTAATAAGCCTGCTAATCAAATAATTCGCCTGAAAGCACAATCACGCTCTAGATGAATGCAGTGTTGAAATGCAAAGGGAGGCAGCTTGTGCCTGTGGTCCCAGCTACTTTGCAGGTTGAAGTGGGAGCGTGGCTTGAGCTCAGGGCTTTGAGGCAGCGTGAGCTGTGATCATGCAGTGAGAATGCAGCTCTTAAAATAAATAAATAATAACAAAATAAATGCAAAGAGAATCAAAGATGAACTCCTCCCCACCTCTTTACAACATGTAGCAAAGCCACTTATGTTTGGTCAATAAATTAATGAAATCTATGGTTTTGTCTGAATATACATTCTCTTAGTTTATCTGTTTATTTCCTTTTTTAAAAAAATACCTTCCTCCCAACACCCATATTCTTTCCTGACATTCTGCCCTTGGCCATGACCTCCTTGACCTAGATCTCTTCCCTAGAGCAGCTCACACCCTTCCACACCCGGCTGAGATCTCTTCTCCAGGTGGCTTCCCCTGACTCCCATTTGGGTTGACGCATGTTGATGAAAAGCCACACAAGGTCTGCCCATCGCAGGCTCCGTAAGCACTGATCAGACTCCTTGTAATCATTCCATTTCCCTCTGTATCCAGGAATTGCCAAGTAGAAGAGCTTCAGCTCTCAGACTGGTTTCAACCCAGGTAAGAACAAAAATATCTTTACATGCACACACAAACAGCGTATCTCGGTTTGAAGAAACAGGTTTTTCTTCCCCAGTCACCAAATTGAGCTCTCCTGGGAGGTTTCCAGAATCGGGGTTTCATTCTGGAGGCTCTTATAAACAACCCAGGGTCTGCTGAGACCCAGGCAATCACGGAGGTGATGAAGAAGGGGATGCACTCAACCTGCCTCGGCTTTCCTGGTTTAGGGAGTGAAAGAGTCTCTTGGGAAACAGCTTGAAAATGCCGCGGATGACGCTGCTCGCCTTTGGTGTCAGCACTCAGGGGCAGCCTTGACCTTTGTAAAGTGTGTAGTGTTCAACGTTGTGTTGCGTTCCTTACTTTATTGAATCCATTCCCTATGGGTTTGGGGTTATTTACCGTTTGGGAGCTATTGTAGGCAAAGTTCTGGTGACTAAGTGTAACCTTTTTTGTTTTTTTCTTACACAGATGTGTGACTTCCTGTGTGAGATCAATTTCTCAAATGAAGTTATCAGGCCAGATAATGCAGACATTTCAAATTTTTGATACAAATTTAAAATTGCTAAATTTCCTTTTAATCACGGCACGATTTTCTCCTCTTGTCTACAGCACGTAAACTAAAGTATTGCCAGTTTTTTTATGTTTGGCAAAGCTGCTAGTTAAACCATCTCAGTTCAATTTCTGTAATTGCATTGTTTGAGGTTTTTTTGTTTTTGTTTTTCTTTTTGTAGAGACAGGAAAAGGGGAGAGAGAGAGAGCAAGCAGAGAAGGAGGGAGACATAAAGGCACCGTGGAAGGGAGGCGGTCTCCTGCCTCCCTGGCCTCAGCAAATGATTGGAGAGTGTTCTGATTTCGGGCTGCCTAATTTTGAGCTGCAGTCAGAGCTCAGAAAAGGCAGTTCCTGGGCTCAAAGGCAGGTGACTGGGGAGGAACACACAAGCCCAGGAGCCAGGTTGGCTGGGCGTGGCATCCCAGCCCCCACGTGTTAACTGTGTGGTGTCAGGCAACTTACTCAACCATTGTGCCTCTGGTTCCCCATGTGGAGATCAGGGGTGGTGGGGATCAGGGGTGGCGGGGGTCAGGGGTGGTAAGGATCAGGGGTGGTGGGGACCCGGGGTGGCGGGGACCCGGGGTGGTAAGGATCAGGGGTGGTGGGGACCC